GTAGTGTAAAGCGCTTTGGGGTCCTTAGGGACTAAGTAAAGCGCTATACAAATGCAGGCCATTTAGCATTTTACCATTTAAAGGTTAAATATGGATAGAATCAGCTCAGTTGGGTACTGCTACACTAATCTCCATACAGATATCCTTCAGCATGCATGGTGAGGGAATCGATCTTGGTCAAGGCTTACAGCTTCATACTGACCTTGTTGATTTCTGTGTCTGAAAGTTTGGTTAAATTACAAGTCATCAACATAACAACAGGAATGTAAATCAAAGAAAGTAAAGTGCTTAATTTAAAAACAAAGCAACCAAAAACACTTTGCTGGATTAGATGGTGGAAAAAAAGTCTCATTGGAATAATCTGCAGTTTGTTATGCTACTAATTAGTGGGTAGATTACTGTACATCTAATATTCTGTCCACAGTAATGTCTATAAAACACTTAATTTGCCTGTTGAATCTTTTAGCAGACCATGTTCCCTTTTTTACTGTTTCTGTAGTAGTTTGCCTGCATGCATGTGTGGTCATCTAATAACTTTGAAGCTGCAGTTACTGCTGCCAATAAGACATTAATGAAACTTACTGAAAAAGAAAGAATCACTTAAAGGAAGTTATTATTTTGGGGCCAAATAAAACAGTTGCAGGTCTGCAACTTTTGTTATTCTCATAGTTGTTCATCAACAAGGAGAGTAGAAGAACAGAAGGAGTATAATATGTTTTTGTAAAACCGGTATGATAGTGTGAAAAAAAATATTATAAATGCTTTTAAAAACTATACAAATCAGGATAAAATAAACCTGTATGGATCGGTTCTTTGCAGCCATACTACTTGAGTTGGTACAAACAGGCAGAATGATATCACATATAACATTTTAGGGTATTTAATATTAGCTACAAACAGCTAAGTGATACATTGTCCCTTGCACACTGTGGACTGGACTTGGCCATCATTTTCTCACCTGATCTGTCTCCTCGCTCACCCCGTTCACCCTTCTCTCCCTTGAAACCCCTTTCTCCTCGGTTACCTGAGGACAAAACAGCACGAGACAACTGATTTACTGACAATGTCGATGATGATTACTTTAAAGAGTTTTATGTCACAGTACATGATGATTAAGCACGATGTAGTATAGAACATTTAGATAAAATATGAAATCAAGGAAAAAAGGAGGCTGGAACAGTAAGAGGTACTAAAAGGAAACAGCTGGAGGAACATTTTACAACAAAAAAGGTTAACTGGTAACAGGTCAGCAACATGATTGGGTATAAAATTGCATCTCACAGTAGAGTTCTCAGAGTTTCTCAGAAGTAAAAGTGGGCAGAAATTCAAAAATCTGGAAAAAAAAAAACCCAGCATCTACAAATTGTGGAACAAGAATGATATAAAATTGCAACTTTGACTATCTCAGGATCTACTTTACATGATATCATCAAATGATTCTGAGAATCTGAAGAAATTTCTGTACATAAGGGAATAGGCTGAAAATCAGTTATTGGATGCCTGTGATCTCTGAGCCCTCAAACAGCACTGCATTAAAAACAGGAATGAATCTGTAGTGAAAAGCACTGCGTGGGCTCAGGAACACTTCCAGAAATCATTGTGATTACAGCTCATTGTGCCATCCACAAATGCAGGTTAAAGCTCCTTCATGCGAAGAAGAAGCCATATGTGAAGATCATCCAGATGCCTCTGGCTTCTCTGGGCCAAAGCTCATTTAAAATGGTCAGAGGCAAAGTGGAAAACTGTTCTTCTGTCAATGAATCAAGATCTGAAATTGTTTGGAAAACATGGAGACTGCAACCTCCAGACTAAAGAGGAAAGGGACCAGCTGGCTTGTTATGTGCACTCAGTTCAAAAGCCTGCATCTTTGATAGTATGGCTGTGCATTAGTGTCTATGGAATTAGCAGCTTGAACACCTGGAAAGGCATCAGCAATGCTGAAAGGTATATACAGATGTTAGGGCAATATGTGCTCCAATTTGGACAACAGGCCTTGCGTATTTAAACAAGACAGTGCTAAATTCATACTGCAGCTACAACAGCATGGCTTCATAGCAGAAGAATCCTGGTGATAAAGTGGCCTCCCTGCAGTCCAGGACAACTAAAAACATTTGGCACATCATGAAACTAAAAACATGACAAAGAAGGCCTAAGATTATTGTGCAGCTAGAAACCAGATATCAGACAAGTATGGGACAACATTCCTCCCCCAAAAGTTCAGCAGCTGTTCTCCTCAGTTCCCAGATGTTTACAGACTGTTGTTAAATGCAGAGGGGATGTGTTACTATCATCAAATTCTAACATGGGGTATTTTCTTAAATTTTACACACTTTAGTACTGAGCGTATAAATTCAGTCATTGTACTGATCTCTTAGAAAACCAATATGTTAGTAAATTTGTCATTACGAATAGAAATTATGGTAAATACCTAAGTTTTTTTTTGTTCAGTTAGACTGAGTGATATTTGTCATATTTTTATCCTACTTTACACAAAATAACAGAAACCAGGGATATGAGTTTAGGGAAACTCATATCCCTGAATAACTGAAACAACAAATCAAATCATTTTCAGTGTTTTCTGTCAAATTTTGGTTTTGTGAAAAGGGAAGGAGAGTTGTCTGTATCATAATATCCAGTGAAATCCTGGTTAAAGTTAAAAGGGAAGCAAGCTATGCATAAACTGAACACAACCAAGACTGAATTACACACAGTGCCAACCGCAATGTAGCACAAAATGGAGCAGAAATGAGGTGAAAAAACAAGCAGGACCAAGAGCCATAACCCTCAGAGATGAGAGCAGCTCAACCACTGAGAAGTCTTAAAACATCTGAACCTTTTCTTCACTTCGCAATCATTTCCCCTCATTTGTATATTTTTAGCTAATGTCTCTTAAATCATGAGGCCTGTAATTGACTTCTCATACACGTGGCTACACCCCGAATCCTCTTCTTAAATAAATTCTAAACATTGTGGTGTATATGTGAATATTAATGCAGAGAAGAGCTGAAAAACAAAATGAAAATGCGCTGACAAAAATCTTTTTAAGGTAATTGCTTAGGCTATTACAACATGGATGGAAAAGTTAATGGGACACAAAACAGCGACATTACTGCAAGTAAAAATCCTTGCATTTGTGGTTTGTGTAAAATTACAGTACATTTACGCACGACACCTCTCCCCAATCAGAAGCTTGGATACGACTATGTCTCATTTGTTTTCATTTCAAAATATAATGTTATTACAAATTCCCATGAATTAGCCATCCAAAGCTGGAGAGCATTTCAGTTTCAGTGCCAGTTGCTAACTCTCAGCCATGAGGTTTAAAAACCACAAGTCTGTTTTTGTCATGAAGCAACGAGAGGATCGGCTTTGAATGGGCACTTATCCCACCTTTAATTTGACCACAGTGTAGGTGCAAGCTGTGGTGGTCCTCAGCCACATGTGTTACAGCCTGTGCGTGTGTCTAAGCAGGGCAGCTAACGCTTTATACACACCCTGCACGTGACGTCCTCAGCCGTCACTGTCACTTCTATCCTGACCACATCCTTAACACTAAATAACACTGCAGGGAAAACCTAAACACAGTGGTGGGCTACTGCTGAGCCACAAGAGACAACAGATGCATCTGATTTAAACCCTCACTGAGTATTTTTGCATACTGGTGGTCCTGAAAGGCAGCAAAGGGTAAGATGAGGGGAATTTTGTAAGGTAATTTGAAGCCTTAGTACCAATATTTATGGTAACCCTCAGGATAAACTGTCATAACTTTGATTAGCATCACACTTTTCATCTAGTGCCAACAGCAAGTAAATTCTTAATTTATATTTTTGGCTTATGAACAAATACCTTTAATAAAAAACAAATGAGCCTCAGTTGTATTTACTATTTTGTGGTAATGAGCAAATTCAAGCATTCCAGTGTGCTAAACCAATATGGTCCACTGTCACAGCTACACAACACCTACTAAAGATCAGTATATTCATTATCACTGCATTCCAGTAAGTAATGGCTCTAGACTTTTAATAATGTTTATGTTCAATGTGACCCATTGTGGTTTTCATTTTTTTGTCAAAATGTTAAAATGTTAGATGTTCACGTCAGAAAAATTCTCAAGCCTAGTGACAACTGGCCAGTGGATTAAGGTGCAAGTCAATGATGCATTTAAATAATATGGGTATTCCCACAAGGTTAATTCATAGAGGCACAGATGCCATAATCCCAGCAAACATGGCTTAAAGAGACCCTGACATAATGTTGTGCAGGGTTGGCTGTGGCTCAGGTGGTTGAGTTTTACTAAAAAGTACTTTAAATGGTCAACTGAGGAGAAAGGTGTTATATAAGCACCTTTAAACTCTTTTTATTTGTATGACCACAGTCTCATTTGTTGTACGGTGAACTTACAGTAACATGTCAGACTGTTAAAAGCATTATGTCTGACTGCCCCCTTATGTCAGCCTTATAAACCATGTGTTGCACAGTTAGCAATGTAGCATAAGGGAGAAACAGGATGCGAGTTTAAACCCTCACTGAGTAATTTTAATTTTACCTTGTGGTATACATTTTTTCCTCTTTCCACCAGCATGAAAGGAAAGAAATGTATGGTATATCAGCAAAAAAAGAAAAAAGAAAAAAATCAGTTAGCACATACAGCAAAGACAAATATCAGCTAGACAGGGAAAATATTGTTATGCATTAACCCTCTCAGGCTCAAATTAAACTTTTTGGTGCTAATGCACAACCAAGTCCTGCAGTGGTACTTCTATCAAAAAAAACAACTCATAAAATATGTATGTGGGGTAATCAGGTTGTTAGTTTTTAACTGTTGCAAATCGGCAACGCCTGCCTCGAGAGGGTTAACATAATTTTTTAAAATCATCTTTTGATATGGCAATGAAACATTTTTGGGAACTATAGACTAATAAGAATCATTAGGTTACTTGCATATAAGCCTGAAACAAGGCCAAAAGTTTTAAAGTTCTGAGATAAATCTATAAAGGTCAGGCTTCAAACTGCTCTTAATGCAAGGTTTCTATTTATTTAATTGTATGATCAGCTAACAACAGCTCTTTACTAATTTTGGCCAGCTGTAAATCTGAAAAGGTATGACAGCATGAGAGCCACAGAGAGACAAAAATAACATCTAGCATATGAAAAAACATAAGACTAAAGACCCAAGCGGTTTTCCGTAAGTGTTGGTAGAAACCAAAGTAGAGTTGAAAGAAGTTGCTCTCCAGGGGCCAAATTGCTAAAATTGCTTTGTGTCTGCTTTATGTGTTAAACGGTTTGCTAACATGTTAGCAGTAAACACTTCACAATGTCACAGCACTTCAGAATTGTCAGTTTTTTACTGTCCCCCAGTGGCTAAAAAAAGTTCAGCTTTACGCACCCAGAAATACCATAAAACACTGTCAGCAACCACAACTGATCTGACAACCAAAGGAACAGCCAACACCTTCTGCAGTCCCTATATATTCTTCCCACCGTTCATCTATAAAAAACCATGAGACTTCACAGTGCTGTTTTTACAAGTTTTTTGTTTTCCCTCCTCCCTCCTGGATTACTGTCTTATACTGAGGCCCCATTCATAGCCGAGTCTCTCCAAAGCCTTCCTCCTTCACTGGTCCGTTAAACCTGAAACTCCACCACAGACACGTAAAGCAGAAATACACACTGCTACAAACTACCGGGATCTAGAGGTGAAGTTTCCTGTGTCCTTCACTTTACCTTAATTTTTGTTTTTTCTGTGTAAAATGGTTATTGGTGTGATGTTTTGTATTGCTCGCTACATAACTAAGTTGTCAAGCAAATGATGCAGACAATGCCAGAGTTTTTGTAGTTGACAATCTTTTCACGCCTGCTTGGTCATAATGGGTGTAAAGTGAGTTTTCTTCTAATGGCTTCAATCAGGCTTATGTCATACTATTAAAATACAGGACATGTTTAGCAATAAATTATAATTCCCTCTACTTTCAAGACATGAGTGACTGGCAGTGGTAGAATATGACGCGCTATCTGTATAAGAACAGCTTTTGTGAAACCCATGTTTAAGGACTCTTCATAGAATCACTTTTTACAGTAAAACAGTAGTGGAACATGTCTGCTACCACTACAGATACATTATATTAAAGAGACATCACATAATGAGGAGATGTGGCACTCCTGAAATCTATGGAAAAACAAATAATGGTTCTAATCTGATATGACTGCTGATTTCATCCTCTGACCAAAGATTAAATGGTAAATGGCCTGTATTTGTATAGCGCTTTTACTAGTCCCTAAGGACCCCAAAGCGCTTTACACATCCAGTCATCCACCCATTCACACACTGGTGATGGCAAGCTACATTGTAGCCGACAGCTGCACTGGGGGGCACTGACAGAGGCGAGGCTGCCGGACACTGGCGCCACCGGGCCCTCTGACCACCACCAGTAGGCAACGGGTAAAGTGTCTTGCCCAAGGACACAACGACCGAGACTCGAACCGGCAATCTTCCGATTACAAGGCAAGCTCCGAACTCTTCAGCCACGATTGCCCGTGAGATTATTTACATCAGGGGTAGGCAACTCCAGGCCTCGAGTGCCAGTGTCCTGCAGGTTTTAGATCCCACCCTGGGTTAACACACCTGAATCAAATGATTAGTTCATTACCAGACCTCTGGAGAACTTCAAGAAATGCTGAGGAGTCATTTAGCCCTTTAAATCAGCTGTGATGGATCATGGACACATCTAAATCCTGCAGGACACCGGCACTCGAGGCCTGGAGTTGCCTACCCCTGATTTACATCTTTACATTTTCTTCTGCTAATACTTTTGGTGTGCACTTAAGGCAGGGGTGGGGGAACTCCAGGCCTCGAGGGCCAGTGTCCTGCAGGTTTTAGATGTGTCCTTGATCCAACACAGCTGTTTTAAATGGCTAAATTACCTCCTCAACATGTCTTGAAGTTCTCCAGATGCCTGGCAATGAACTAATCATTTGATTCAGGTGTGATGACCCAGGGTGATATCTAAACACAGGACGCTGGCCCTTGAGGCCTGGAGTTCCCCCACTCCTGCCTTAAGGAGTAACAACAGCATTATGTGCCCTTTCCCTAGCATCCTCTTCATATGGCCTCCTTCAGTATAAATTTGATTTAAAGAACTGAAGGTAGATCTCCTCGATTGCCATCGAGCATATCCATTATCCGTATCACTATTGTGTTGCATTGTGGTATAATTCAAGCTGATGAAGTGTCCGGTGCTTTCAAATTCAAATTTTCTACCAGGAATTAGTCCTAACAATGGGATCTATTAGGAGACCCCACACTATGACCCTTCTGCCACCAGATATTTGGTTTTTGTCTCATTTTCTCTTATTCTCCAAGTGCTTTAGCATCTTTCTTCTAGTAAACACAATAAAAACAGTTTTTTACATTTGTATAAAATGAGCATGAAAAGGCACATTATTTTACATAAATGCCTAAAAAAAAGGGAGAGTTGAGTCATAACTGCTAAGTGCAGGAGACAACAGGTCCAAGACTTGAAGAGCTACCGGCCAACATTTGGACTGTGGGACTTAACACTGGACAATTCAGCCAAACCCCGATCTGATTGGCAACAGCTGTCGGCTAAAGACACATTACACGCATACATACACAGTGACATGTCCACACAAGAAACGCATAGACTGCAGTGCCTTATCATATTAGTCACGGCTATGATTAATTCAGAGCTGTGTTTATCTCAGTGTGTGTTTGTTATCATTGGCGCTGTCGAGCCCCCCGATGGGGTTTATGTAGATTTAGAGAGATGATGAGAGAGTATAAAGACAGCAAATAAGAAATAACGACATAATGGACACTATCCAAGCTTAAAGATGGCATTTATCATTGTTCTCACATTGTGGAAAACATGTAAAAACATTTACAGAGTGGAATGGAAAACTACTGGTAAATTCCCCACACTGTATATAGTGATGTCTGTGAAGGTTCTCAGTCATCCAGGTCATCGTAGTCAAAGGAGCTTGCAAAGAAAAGCATCTGGACTTCTTTAAGTTGCTTGAAGTTGCAACTTAAAGAAGTCCAGACGCTTTTCTTTGCAAGCTCCTTTGACTGTATATAGTGATATACTGAGTTGTCAGACAGTATTAATTCTTCATTACGGATTTTGCCACATATAAAATATGATCCTATTATAATGATAAAGGTGTGTGGGTTCTATTCAAAAGTACCTTTAAATATGTTATTCGGGTTTCTGTGTCAGAATGTGGTTGAAATTTGTTTAAGTGCATGCTTCTTGGATCTTAATTTCCATGGTAGATTTGGAGGGGTTGTGTCATGACAACATGATGGATGGGGGCAGTAAGAAAAACTGGCTGGATTAGTGCATACTGGAAAATGAGTATGTACACACGCATCAACAAGTTTTCCTCTCTTTTTCTGACAGTTGTTCCATTGGAGCTAATAATATAGAAATAATGTTGCTTTCCAGCTGTTTAGTTGATAATCATGGTTTCTGGTAACATCCAATAATTTCTTGCATTTCATTGAATGGAAAACCTATTAGATAAGTAGAGACAGGTGTTTTGCTTGAATAAATGGGAGAGGATAAGCAAATATAGCTCCCCTGGCTAAAGACAAAAAACAAACAGCAGCACCTGTTGGTGATGTAAGAAGTGTTGTGTTCCTGATAAATCCTGGTAAGGAACTTTTTCAGTGACATAAAAGTCAACAAGTCAAGGAGTCATCTGAGGACTGAGTCTTTCAGTAGGCAAGTGTTGTTAAAGTTAATTTGTGATTTACACAAGACTACAGGGAGAAAAAGGACATCCGTACTGATGAGCTGCTGTGTGAGAGTATGACTAACTTATTTTAATGTGGCTACTGCAGTTGCTCCACAAACACACAACTGCCTACATTGTTTTAAAGCAAAGATTGCAATCTATGTTGTTGTAATGAAAAAAAAAATTCTCTCTGGACAACAGATTAACGAACAGATTAACCAGAAGCAGAAATAACCTGCTAAGCCCACGATTTTTACTGTATAGGAATAATTTGACAATAAAATTGAAGGAAAATGTATCTTCTTCCAAACAATGTCTTTTTAAAAGCAGACACCTTATGCTGGTTGATCTGTACACATTTGACTAAGAGTGCCATTTAGCTGTTCTTGCATTAACTACTTCTTTTGACTCACTTTTAAAAAAAAAAAAGTAGGAACAAAAATAAACACAGATCTGCAGAGAAGATTTTCAGGATGCTCAGGGTTTTTAAACCAGGTTGATATGAGTTATGATTCAGATTTTAAAAGCTGTTTTGAGAGAGGAGTGCCAAGCCTGTTTCAAAGTAAGTGAAAAAGAAAGTGGTAACTTATGCTTTTTGTAAGTGCTGCTTCACACACAACAATGAAAAGTGATGAGGTATGGTGGATTTGAATGTCACCATCTAATTGTTTGATTTGAATCTCTCTCTCTGATTTGTTGATACTTGCCTATGTTTTCTTTCTGTGTCAAGCTTGGAATGACCTTTTTCCACACATTCACCTTTTTGCTGTACTTAAACACATACATGGGGGCATCAGGGGCCACTCGATAGTAGTCAGTAATATCAATCTATTGACCTTCTGACTGGTATATGACCCTCACAGTTACCTGCGAAGGGACGGCAACCTTCTAGCAGCTCTGTATTGTATGCTCTTGCTTTTCCAGTACTTTGCTTTCTCATATTTGCATGCATAAATATCAGTGAGCTCATAAGATCAGGCCAAGTTAATTAGTATTAAACTCCAAACTATTAGTATCACGACTCGCACCACAAATGTACCTTTAGGCCCGGCAGGTCCAACGTCTCCCCTTTCTCCCGGCATGCCATCGACCCCACCAGACCCTTTAATTCCCCGAGGGCCCTGGTTGCCTTTTTCTCCGGTAAATCCTGAAACACAAACAGACAATCATGAAAAAAACAAAAACAAAACCTGCCTGTATTTTGCAACTGCCTAAAAAGGCCAGAGACCCCACTCATATGGACTATTTTGTACACTTTCTTCTGTTACTGGCAGCCAGAATGGAGCTACTGAGTCAACAGACAGGCAAACTTGATGACATACTGATTCTTCAGCTTGCAGATCTGTACTGCAATTCATGTGGAAAAAGAAAAGATGTGGAAGAATGGATGAGGATGAAAAGAATTGTAAACTCTAGAGGGGAGGGAAGATTTTATCGCCTGAGTGTCAACACTAACTGAACTAGACTGGAACATACTTGATCTAATCATGGTTTTCATTAACTGTAATGCGGATCCGTGGTGTAAATAAACAATTACTGAATTTCTGTTAGGGTCCAGTCATCAGGTCTCCCAGTCCCAGTCTATTCTTTAAAGTGTATTAAGGTTTTGGAAGTCCTGTTAATATTAGTACTGCTCATGTTCCACCATCTGGAATACACGAAAAACATCTTTTGTTTTGCTCCTAAAACATATCCACTCCATACCCCGTGGCATACAATGAGAACATTTGTTTAGAATAAGCACAGTGAAATGTCTCAAAATTAGTGTGGTAATGAGTTATTGATTACACCGCTGAGGTGAGAGAAATCTTTTTAAAATGTCGCTGTGTTCTGACACGCTCTGATTACACTGTTGTGACTGTTCAGAAATAAGAATAAAATAATTAGGCATTAGAGCCAGAAACGCAAAATAAACCGATGATGGATGAGGCCATATAACTCAGTTCAACTCAAAAAACCCACTGGGAAAATGCTATCTGTCATAATTGGGATCCAGGGCAGAAATGTTCTTTTTGTTCTGCAGGCGAGTCCAACTGGACTGCTCCACATGTCAAGCATCCTGCTGGATGTGATGACACATTCCTTTGGCTTCAGTGCGAGTGGAGCAACAGAACTCCATGTAGCGCAATATAAACACAATGTGTAGATCTAGGTTATTAGAATTGATTATTCTTTTTAGAACTGGAAACAACAGTCAACATAAAATAAACAGATAACATAAACTAACATTGCTAAGGTCATTAATTTGAACAATAGGAAAAATAAAAAAATTGAATAATAGGCAGTGTTGGGAAGGTTACGTTACTCAATGAGAGTAACGTATTCTGAATACTTTGGATTACTTAATATATTATCAAGCTTTTTACAACCACATGAATGTACTATTGCTGTGTGATTTATTACTATTACTGAATGATATT